AAGGCCTTCCCCAAGCAGAACACATGTAAGTTATATCTCAATGGTATGTAAATTATATCTCAATAAAGCTGATAAAAAATTTTTATTAAAAAATATTTTTTAAAAATTCAGCTAAATAACCACCTACTCCACAAGGCCTTCCCCAAGCAGAACCCATATAAAATTATTGTAACAGTTTCTTCTTTTGACAAATTCCAGAACAAAAGTTGACAAGCCATTTTAAGAAAAATTCTATTATGGAAAATATCACATATATAAAAGTGGGAGAATGGTTAACCTGCATCTCCATGCACCTATGACTCAGCTCATGGTATCCCCATGTACTGCCCACCCCACCCCCAGATTATTTTCAGCAAGTCGTTTTGCATATCCCAATGCTAGTAATCCTGAGGCCCAAGGAAACTGGAAAACAGAAGTCCACAGCAGTCTAATAGGAATCCAATATTTATTAAGTGCCAATAATTGTTTTAAGCACTTGGAATGAATTAGTTCATTCAATCCTCGAAACAACCTTAAAAGGTAATGTTATTATACCCATTTCACCCTGAGGAAATCAAGACTTAGAGGTGAAATAACTTCTCCAAGAGCTAGTAAGTGGAAAAATGGAATTGCAAACTGAGGTTATCATTGCAATCATATTTACCTCAGAGAAAAACAATATAACTAATATAATCATTTAACTTATAAGCTGAAAGAATGGTGTTCTCTTTCCTGGACTTTAAGGCCATTTATAGGGTCCATCTGCTTGAATTATATAGATGATTTCGGTTCAAGCTGGGGCTACTGAAGACATCCCAGGAAGCCCTCCATTTGACCTAACCCTCTGTGGGCTCTAAGAAGCATCTAAGGCCACAGAGGACCCCGGGCTTGCTCCAAGAAATCAAGGGCCTTTAAGAAGCCAGAACAACAAAAACAGCAGGGTCCTCTTGAATTCTAGAACTGTGCTCTGCAATATGGAAGCCACTCACCAGTGTACCCACTGAGCACCTGGAATGTAGCTAGTTCAAATCCAATGTACTGAGGTAAAAACAAACAAACAAAACAAAACAAAAAACCCACATATTTTGAAGACTTATTACAAAAAAAGAATGTGAAATATTGATTACATGTTAAAATAGTAACATTTTAGAAATGTTGGGTTAAATAAAATATTTTATCAGAATTAATCTCACCTGTTCCCTTGTACCTTTTTAGTGCGGCTACTAGAACATTTAAAATGATGTCTGTGGCTCACATTTCCACAAGGGTGCTGTTTCTGACTGTGCCTGTGCTGCCCTGGATGCCGGCTCGTGGGCTCTCACCTTGCAAATGCTTCTCACAGGTTCACAAAGAAACAGGCAGCACTACTGGCACGAAGGACACCAGCCAGGTGCAGCTAAATTCAGAGATCAGACCTCCGGAACCTTCAGAACTTGCCAGTGATACATTGGCCTAACTCTCCACTAAGTGCAGCTTCCAAAATAAAATGAGTACAACTCTCCTATTTGAAACTCAGGTTGGGTTGGGATATCCCTGAACCTGATTACTCACTCAAAATGAAGTTCTGTCACCAAGAAGTCGTTCAAGGATCTTATTGCCACTGGGATGAGGCTGACAGAGACAGCCAGCCAGGGCTTTAGTTCGGAGAGATGGAGCTGCTTCCTCTCCCACCTTGCTGCTGGGCAGGAATGTTCTCAGTGGTTCGACATAAGAAAATGGGTTTCAAAACTAAATTTATTTTGTTCACCAGTCTGCATAAGGCATTGTCCATAGAACAAAGGGGCTGCCTTTCAGGTCAAACCTTTCCCTCCCGCTCTGGATTCCACCTCCACCCCACTGCCCACGTCAGTGATCACACTTCCATCCCTCTAGAAGCTCCGTCACAGGTGGTTATTTGCTGAGGTCAATTTGGGCACACATGAATGCTACGCTATACTGGAATGTTTTGCTGATCTACAATACAACCCAGTTACTAAAAAAACAAAGGCACTGAAACTGTGTCAAAAACATCATCTGATTACCAGGTTAGTGGAGGGTGAAGGCCGATGAAATCCTAAATCTGGCTGCATCAGCTGCTAGGTATGACAGGAAGTGAGCAGTCAGGCATTTGAGAAGAAAGTCATAAGAGGTTGTCATGGCACCACTGAGGTCTTGGAAGGCTGGAGCTTACACCATATGGTCACTGTGGCCTGACTCCTCCACCCCAGTCAGTGCCCAATACACAGCAAGGGCTCAATATCCATCAGTTGAAGAGAAGGGAGGAGTTGATTATAGAATGATCAGGTCCTCTGGATCCTGGGGTCAGCCTTCCTGAGAAAGAAGCTGCAGCCCCTGACAGCGGGCAACTGGCCAGGTTCTATAGTCAGGACATGGTGTTGCTACGAGCTGGCCTGGCCTCTACCACTAGGCTGTTGTGTTCTCCTGTGGAACAGAAACAATTTCACAGAACAGCATCAGACAAGGCCACTCTGTGACTGATTAAGACAAAAACCAGACGACTCAGTAATCACATCTCAACACAGACAAAATGTGACCATGTTCCAAACCATACAAAAGACCAGACACCCCCCACCCCGGCTAATGAGTGGCCACCAGTGCTTTAGCCAGACCAGCTTCAGCCTCACTCCATTCTCACCTTCTCAGTAAAAATCAAAGACAACAACCACAGAATTCTCCTGCTTCCTGAAAAAATCCAATCCGGAGCAAAGCCCTCCTCCAAAGCACCAGACATAAGCTTAAATCCTGAAGTCCTAACACCCTCTGACAGACCCCCGGTGGCTCCCCATAGCACATGACTTCCCTTGTTCAATGAGTCAATAAACCCAACTTTGTTCAAATATGTGTTCCTGAAGAGTCTTTGGCTAAAGAAATCTAGTAACCCTTAGCCATAAACATCCTCTCCTAGGCTACAGTTGTCACTGTGCCTATATCCCCAGGCCTGGGGAGGGGAAAAAAGGAAATGAGCACAGGAGAGAGGAGAAAATTCAGTGGTGGCAGAGAAAGACTTCTACGAAGGGTGCTGTCCCATGGCCAACCTCAGGTTGTGCCATGTCCTACCCCTTTCTCACACTAAAGAAAGCCTATCAGGAAATAGAATTTAATATTATAGAATTACCCATAAGCCTATCTACACACACACAAAATAAACCATTTCACTAACTTCAGTAGTTAAACAAATTACTTGTGACTCACATTACAAGGATGGACACGACAATTAAGAAACACAAACTATTTAGTCCTACAACCACCTGGAATTAGGAGCCCAACAAGTCTGGCCTGCCTTCCAGCACATGACCTGAACAAGTTAGTTAAACTAAGCCTGTTTCTCACTCTGCAAATTAAGAGAACGAATGCTATAAAGCTGCTGTGAGGTAACAGGCCGAAGGCCATAAAAGAACATGACACATGGGAAGTAATGACAGGTAGGATGCTATCGCCATGTTCACCTGATAACCATTTTTCCCACCTCATGGCCCACCTCTCCCCATCCTAGGCTGACAACTCTTTCACGTTGCCCCATTATGGCACTCCTCTGTCAATCTGCCTTGCCCACCACACTGGAAGCATCTGGAACATGAGTAAGCTGAAGCACAGGAGGTGTCTTCATCTCTGTCCCACCCTTCTCTCTCACTAGTGGCCTAGGAATTGGCACATGGTGGGGACTCAGAAAAAGTCTGATGAATGAAGAATATAAAAACTTTATACAAGCTATAGCTAAAACCAAAACTGAGTAGGTTTTATTCAAGTCCAAGTGATTCTTCCCCTTTGATACTTCTCAGAAATGTGTTTAACTTGGTTATAAACTGTTCCCAAACGCTAGACTTGCAGCTTGTCCTATGCCTCTCAAATTGATCACGAGCCTGAAAATTTTTTTCATCCAATTTATCACCCACGAGATCACATTTAATAATTTCATTGAAGAAACTTTAATCAGAATTTATCTCAAGAACAAACTGCTGTATATGTGCCTAAAGCATTGCAAGTGTTTTGTTTCAAGAAAAGAAAAACCTCACTCACATTAACATTTGAAGGAGCTGCAGTTCGGTTACAGGTGTGAATGCCTATGAAACTCGCTGAAAATTTACATGTGATGTAGAGCATGAAAAGTGTTTTTCAGAAACCCAGTTTAACTTTGTTGTTTCTCTTTATGCCTGAATTTAATTCATGTCACAAGAGCAACAAAGGATTATTAGTTCTATCAAGTTTTCTCTAAGATCTAGTGCCCGTTAGGTACAAAAATTATCATCCAGACCAAAATAATCTTGAAGAAAAAGAAAGCACTCCCAACAATAGGTTCCCTAACAATGTGTGAGGCAACTATTTTTAAAGAGCACCGAGAGTGAAGAAAGAGAAGGAATTCGGCAGAAGAAAGCCTCTTCAATGCTCAGTACTGAGTGTTTATTCTGCAACTTCATTTAGCAGGATTTAGATGCCAACAAGTTTGGCAGCTATAATTCAAGCTTCGAAACAGAAGGCAAGCCCAGTGAAATGACTGTTCAAGTACTGTGCAAATTCAGCACAGGTGAGATTAGGGGTCTCAGCACAAACACCTTTACAACAGGATGGATTCCTGCGTCCCATGTAGAATCATCACTGAGTTGACCGTAGCCTCTCTTTTCCCTGGCCATGAGGCTTTCTGGACAATTTGCTGCTCATTAGGCAAACTGTGAAGGTTACAGAGAGGAGGGAATAAAGAGGAAGTGCAGATCACCCATTTTACTGTTTGTCAGCTTCCATGAGTAAAGAGTTGACTGATAAAAAACTTGGGAGCAGTTTGTGACTTTTGTTCAGCTGTGTTATTCTCCAGTAACAAAGAAAACTAATGTTCTGTTTGACAAATTCTATGGAATGAAACTAATGTCAAGCTCTCTCAGAAATAAAGGAAATATTTATCTATTCCTTGGCTCAAGATTTCTTGAGTATATTCCACCCCTTATCAGAGATCCAATGTAAACTGAGTGAGCAAAATTGATTTTTGTTGTACCACAAAATTGCTATGAATTCTAAAGGAAAGACAAGAGTAAAAATGGCACCATACTGTTTTATTTCAACCCTCAAACAATATAAAGAGGTAACAACTTCTGATGTTGAACCATGCAAGTAATAATAAAAGAACAGTAAAATATTAACAACAAAAAGACAATCATTTAAAAGTGTTTCGCATTTCACAGCAGTGCTCTGGCAGTGTGGGCAAGTCCTTCTGACCAACTGGTTCCAGCCCCAGGGGTCTGAAGGAACTCCCTGATCTTAGCAAAAGAACCACCACAATCTCCCTAATAGTTTGCACTCCGAGTCGCTATACACCACACTGGTACATTCACCAGACTTGTAAACCTCATCTTAAAATATGTAACCAGGTACTATGTGTGATTACAATGAAAACTAAAAATAGACAGACAGTGGCAGAAAAGTAAACTCTGATGTTTCCGGTAAGGCATCAGGGAATCGCTGCCAGCTGGGCTCTTCATTTTACTAGTTTAAAGAAAAGTTTTCATTTATATTATTCAGCAAACTCAATATTCAGAAGCTTAACCAGCAGGCTCAAGTTAAAAGTTTAAAAGACAGTTCCCTTCTCTCTTTTTTTTTTTTTTTGGTAAATGTTTCATATAAAACATGAAATCAATTTCTACTTTATTAAAAAACTGAGTATTTTTAATAGTAAAAATATATGTTTATATTTCTTCTTAAAAAAAGACATTTAATAACATATTTCAGAAGACTGAATTTAACTCCCCAACCCCCCACCCGGCCAGCTGTCCACCTGGCACAGACACATTAAGGCAAAGGCTCCTGGAGAGGCATGTCCATCTCGGCTGAGGCTGGGGACTCAAGGCGAACACTTCACTCCTGCGGTCAGCAGAAAGGCTTCTCCCTCACGTTCACTGAGCCATCCTGCATCCCAAAGTAGACTCTCTCAGCCATATTGATGAATAGGCCTGTGTCCACCACACCTGCAGGACAAAGGACGGAAGGAAGCATTAAGTTTCAGCTTCCTCTAGCAAGAAAAGAATCAAGGATCACAGGGTCAGTAGAAGCAACTACCATTAGCAACACTGGACAAATGAATAGAGATTCTGATTATTTTTATTTCTTCTTACAAGCCATCTGTCCCTTGCCATCTTGGCTTTCTTTTTAAAGGCCCATCATGTGCCAAACTTTTTCCTTTCTCAAGGCCTTTGCTCATGCTATTCCTTTTGTCTGGATTACTCATTTGAGAGCTTCAAGGGGTTCTTCTCTGTCCTTCAGATATTAGATGACAAGTCATCTTTTCGGAAAGGTCATTACTCTAAGTAACCCCTAGTCCCAGTTATTCTCAATCATACTGTCAGCTTTAGAAGTTTTCCCCAAAGAGCCCAAAAAAATATTTGCAATGTGTATACCCAACAAAGGGCTCACATCAAAATATATAAACTACTCTCTAAATCAATAAGACAGAAGACCTAGTAGAAAAATGGACAAAAGACTTAGAGGTACTTTGCAAAAGAGGCTATCCAAAATTACCAATAAACATAAAAAACGGTGTTTAAACTAGTCAAAAGGGAATGCCAATTAAAACTACAAGACACCACTATATGCTCACTAGAAAGAATATAATGAAATCTGACGAGGATGAAAAGACACTCCCACATGTAGACAGCGGGAGTAAACTGGCAAAGCCGCTTTGGAAATGTTTGTTAATACCTCTCTGACACCAAACACACTCACACCTAATGATCCAACAATGCTGCTCCAGGCATACAAACAACTGTCAGGTAGATGTATGGTCATCAAGAGTCATGTACAAGAATGTGCACAGCAGTACTTTTCCTAATAGCTAAAAACTGGAAACACCCAAACACCCATCAACAGTAGAATTCACATACAAACTTTTTTCCACACACATAAATAAGATGGAATATTATTCAGCAATGAGAATTAACTACAACTGCAAACAACCTTTTCTGAAAATATTTACATATCCAGTTAACCCTTTACCAACTCAGGGGTTATGGGTACAGACCTCCCTCGCAGTCGAAAACCAGCGAATAACAGCCGGCCCTCTGCAAACGCAGATTCCCAGCTGCAGAGCAAAACAGGCTTGGATCGCACAGGCCAAGTGAAAAATCTGCACATAAGATGGACCGGCGCAGTTCAAACCCCAAGTTGTTCAAGAGTCAACCACGTATACACATACTACAATGAGAGAGTAACTGCTGAACTATTAGAGAAAAAGTCCGATGGACTCAGTGTGTAGGAAAAGTGGCACCTGCACCTGCTGCTGGCAGACAGGCAAAGTGCTACAATCCACAGTGAGCGATTTAACACCATCTAGCAACATCGGACACACTTATCTCTTCTGACCTAGGAACTGCCTTCTAGCAAAGGACAGGAAACAAATATCCACTAGTGGGGAGCTGGTTAAATAAAGTATGCGATGGCCATAAAATGGAATGCCATGCTGTTATTTTTAAAAGAACGAGGAAGCTCTTTCATGAACCATTATGGAATAATCTCCACGACAGGAAAAACGAAGAAGCAAAATGTATATCTAGTATGTTGTCACTTGTTAAAGGGGTGGGGAGGAGACATTTGATTTGTTTATGAAAGACCAACTCAAAAAGCACACATAATTTTGGTAACCTTTGCTGCCTCCAGACAAATTTGGAGGGGTGGAAGGAAGAGACTTGTCACTGTTTACTCTTGTAATATTAAACTATGTAAATTCAAAAGGAGAAATAAAATTAAAACTTCCAAAGACAGCCCCCAATACATAAATAAAATCATCTATTAGCAATGAAAAGCCATCAGGTAGGGAAAAATCTGCTGAAGCACAAAGGTCCCTGGCACCAAAGAGCCGATATGACTAGAGCCCCCCAGAGATAAGCCTAGCAGCCACTCAAGACCCATCCGCTTCAAAAAGTCTGCAACACACAGCAACAGCTTCTACCTGGTCAGATAGAAAGTCAAACCAGGTTCAAAGAAGGTTGCACGGAAAGGGCAGAGATGAATGGCAGCAGTCTAGGGTCTGATCTGAGAGCAACCTCTCCTCAGGTCACTGAGATGGAGGGAGTGACTGATCCTCCTGACCCCCACCCTCATCCCCAAAATAGTGGGAAGGGAAGGGGTGGCTTAATGTGAACATGGGGGAAAGAATCCCAGTAGCTCTGGGCCTTCCACAGAGCCTGTCTGCTCTGGGTGCAACCCAATGGAACATCCAAGGGAGTGCACCTGTTCAGCTGTCCCCTAAGTGATATGGGACAGGCAGGGCAACAGGGACAGATAGGGAAACTTGCCCTGCTTCTCCTCCCTTGATCTTGGTCCAGCAGCAAGTATTACAATGGGCCGAACCAGGAAGAGAAACAAGAAAACAAATCTCACTGATGCTCCTGGTGGCACTGTACTAAATGATTGAAAATCTAGACTCTCTTTTTTTTTCATTTTCTTCATTTTAAGTTCTTAATAAACCTCTGAACTTCTCTACGATGTAATTTGTACTTACTGCAATGGAGAGCAAAGTATGAAAGAAATTTTCTCATGAAGGACATCTCAGGGTCTCAATAAACCAAGAAAGGTCTGAGCAGCAGCAACAGAGCTACCTAGTGGGCACTGCAAGAAATCCACCTACGGACGAACAGTGCCACCACTGCGTTTGTGTGCATTATCGTTAGGGCAAATCCTCCTATTATATCAACAGTGACCTCTTTGTCTTCTCTTCCTCCTGCCTTCTTGGCTCTTTAGTTCTTCTACTAAAAAGATAACACGAAGTGAGAGAATAAGCATAATTCAACTCATCTTCGATTTAAGAAATCTGGTAAAAGATTGTCAGTGGAAGACTAAAATAGCAAACTAAAGTAAGGTTGGAAGAATTAGCTCTTTATTAACTTAGAATCTAACATATTTAATTAATGGTGAAGATAGTATCCTTTCTTTCGTTGAATAAATCCAACAAACACTCCCTTGTGTGCTGGGTTCCACTTTAACTTAATCCTCCCAACAATCCTATGAGGTAGGTACTAAGAATTAGTCTCTTTTACAGAAGAAGACACTGAGGCACAGAGATACGAACTGCACGAAAGTCACACTGATAGAGCATAGCTGGGTTAGGACCTGTACTCAGGCAGTCTGCTCCAGGATCCACTCTTAGCCACTACAATCTGCTACACTGACCATATCTGCCTCATTAGCCAGCTCTGGCCCAAGAATATTCCATGTCATGAAATAGTCCCAATTAGAATCTTAGTCTCTCGATATCATAACACTGATATTTCTCACCTCTCTCTCCTTCTTTTAATCCCCTTGTTTGAGCCCAATATCTCCTCCAGCATGGAATCTTAACTGACCTCTACACTGCCCGCCGAGGTCCCTGGTACAAAAGCAGCATTAGAGACTCTCCGCTGCGCCACGTGTTCATGTCACACAACCCCTCTTAGACCTGGCTCTCGAAGGAGGAAGGACTAAGAGTTCAGGGTCGGGAGGTGACCTAGGGCTCCCACCTCAGTGCTGCCACAAATCCCCGGGCAAATCCTTCAACCTTCCTCAATCTGTGTCCTCTCGATAACTATGTACACTCAAACTGGGGACTCAAATGAAACATGTGTAAACACTTAGTGCAATGTCTAGATTATACTATGCCGAGGACCAGATCACAAGCCACCTCTCCTCCATGGAATTCCCCACAAAGCAGCAACTTTTGTGCACTCTAGACTCTTGGTATTATTCTAGCAGAATCTGGCACATTCTATCTTACTTGTAGGCATGGCTTCCACACAGCCAGGCACAACAGCCCCGATTTGCCACAACTCTCCCTAAGGACAGAGTCCACATTCTCCAGATGGGAGTGCTCCTGTAACGCGTGGCACGATATCTTGCTTGTGGTCTGTATCTTAAGAATGCAGGTGAACTGAGTCATTCTATCCTACTGCTTAAGAAGGGTCCTGGAAGGGACGGCCTTATGCAGAGAGGGTGAACGCCACTCACGTTACCTGGGATCATCTTGATGGTTGTGTTCACTTCACTCCACTTGTGCACCCGGTCAAACTTCCAGTCCAGGATAAAATTTCCATTATCTGTTACCACGGGACCCTAGAAGATAATTTTCGATATTTACTGAGGATGTAGATACAGGTAGGTAGAGAGGGGCAAGGAAGTGGAGGTGAATAACCAAAGACAGGTATCCTAATCAACTTGTTCCAACCAATACTCCCGCCCCATGCTTTCTAGAAGGCAGTGGTATAAGCAGTAATGAGCAAGAGCTTCAGAGTCAGAATTTGAGTCTTGATGCTACACAAGTATAAATTCTCAGAGGAGCCATTAACTTCTGTGAGCCTCAGATTCCTCGACTGCAAAAATGGATACTCATGCATACTGCATAAGGCAGCTTACGTATAAACTATATGAGTAAGCATTTACCACAGCGAGTGTTCACAGTGAGAGCTTAACAATTTTTAGCTATTTTTAGACTGAAAAACTACAGCAACAGAACAGGCTACCAACGTGGCACAATATTCTCACAGCTTCACGTTAAGTATCATCAATAATATAAGACAATGCTATTTCACCCATCGGTCAGGCCGTCCCATCAAAAAGACAGGAAGCTGAAAAGGGTTCTGAGGACAAGAAGGCAGGGGGTAGTTTTAATTAATCAAGAATTCCTCAACAGCTTTGGGCGCTAGGAAGTACTGAGGACCACAAATGCTGACAGAACGCTACAGTCAAAGGCAAAGAAACTAGGAATGCCCGCAACCTGGAGAAGGGGCAGGAGCTCGGTTAAGAGCTCCATGCTGAAGATGCTGAGGCTCTTGTCTGGAGTAACCCCAGCCATGACAGAGAACCTCCAACGACCTCCCAGCGTCAGAGCTCTGCACAGCCACCATGATGAGGACAGCAATTTAAAAAGTCACGAAACACCAGGAAGAAAACACATCAATATAAAAATATACCAAGGAAGAGTTAAAAATAATTTTTATTTTCTATATCTCTCAAGCTTTTTATATAGTTATGCCTGTAACTATGGTTACTTATTATTTGTTATTTTTGACAAATAGGATGGGAATCATATCAAAATACCATCTTCCTGCTCAAGACATAACATGTAATAGTTCTCTAGTGACTATCACATCATGTATGAATTCTTTGACATTTTAAAACCCTCATTAATCCTAAGAACTGTGAAAAACTTGGTATTTTATTCTACTTGCAAGCTAACAACTTAACCTGCCACAGTTCATGGGTACTGGCAGAAGATACAAGACACCTGGATCTGAGACACAGCCCTTAGAGCAGCATCAGTAGCAAGAGTATCAGCATTTGCATCACTTCCCCAAGACCCAGGTCCTTTAGCTGGCATGGTGTTGGCCCGGTGATACCTGCATGCCGTGTATGGCATAACATGAGAGGAATGTCCAACTTATGGAATTTGAATATAAGGACTAGTAAGCCTGTCTGAACTTTGCATAAGAAGTAGACATCTTTATTACACGTAGAAGTAAACTTTCCCTTTGCTCTGGGAGGATGTACTACACCTTTCAAGGTTGTTCACTTTATAAACCTCCTTGAATAGTTAAAACAAAAACAGTGTCTCTGCTTGTAAGAAATGTAAGGGATTCATAGAGAATTATTTCTCAACAATTTTAAGACCCTCTATAACAGGGGTCCCCAATCCCTGAGCCATGGACCAGTAGGGGTCCGTGGCCCGTTAGAAACAGGGCCACACAGCAGGAAGTGAGCGGCAGTCTAGCAAGCAAAGCTTCATCTGTATTTCCAGCTGCTCCCAACGCTAGCATCACTGCCTCAGCTCCACCTCAGATCGTTAGGCATTAAATTCCCATAGGAGCGCGAACCCTGCTGTGAACTGCGCTCGTGAGGGATCTAGGTTGAGCGTTCCTTATGAGAATCTAATGCTTGATGATCTGAGGTGGATCTGAGGTGGATGCTAGCATTGAGAGTGGCTGCAAATACAGATTAACATTAGCAGAGAGGTCTGACTGCACAGAGACCATAAAAAATCAGTTGCTTGCAGACTCATATCAAAACCCTATCAGTGAGTGGCAAGTGACAATTAAGCTGCATCTGGTGGCAGGCTTTATGTCAGAATCCGATACTTAATTTAGTCTGCGCATGGCCCACCCATTATTTTATTTAGCACTTCCATTCTCACCTCTTCCTCGCACTGCACACTTGTCTCAGTCACAGTTTTGGCAAGCCCACAAGCTAACAGTAGCCAAACTGTGAAAAACAAATATCACTGGAGAACTTCTTTGGAAAGGGGGAAAGACCCAATGATGAGACAGTGGAAGACTAAGACTGTCAACAACAAAAAAAGCTGTATTTAAAGAAAATATCAAGAGTCCAACTTAAATTACAGATTCATTGCAACAGGTGATTCACATTCTCCAAGCCCACTTTGTATAATATGTGGTGACCGGCTATGCAACAAAGCCATGAAACCTTCAAAATTGCTTCACCACATGGAGACCAAGCATTCGGCATTAAAAGACAAGGCTTTGGTAATTTTTCAAAAGAAAAAAATCATGAACACAAAGAACAGGAGTCATTACTGAAGGCAATCACTTCATCAAATGTGTCTAACTGCAATAGATGCGGTTAGTAGCTAACCGCATTATTAAAGCTAAGAAGCCCTTTACTATTGGTGAAGAGTTGATCCTGCCTGCTGCTAAAGACATTTGCTGTGAACTTTTAGGGGAGGAAGCAGTTCAAAAATTGGCATGTGTTCCTTTTTTGACTAGCACCATAACTAGACACACCGATGAAATAGCACAAGATATTGAGGCACAACTGTTAGAGAGGATTCATGAGTCACCGTGGTATGCAATCCAGGTTGACAAGTCTACAGATGTTGACAACAAGGCAACAATGCTTGTCTTTGTGCGACCTATTTTTCAGGAGGATGTGCAAGAGGACATGTTATATGCACTTTTGTTGCCAACCAACACCACTGCTACAGAACTATCCAAGTCTTTGAATGATTACATATCATGAAAACTGAATTGGTCATTTTGTGTCAGTATATGCACAGACGGAGCGGCTGCCATGACTGGACAGCTTTCCAGTTTCACTACTCGGGTCAAAGAGGTTGCTTCTGACATGAGTCTATGCACTGTGTCATCCACAGAGAAATGCTGGCTAGCTGAAAATGTCACCTGAACTTAACATTTTGCAGGATGTGATTAAAATTATCAACATTAAAGTACATGCCCTTAACTCATGTCTGTTCACTCAGCTCTGTAAGAGCTGCATGCATGCATGCATGCAGAGCACACACGTCTTCTCTTAGACATTGAAGTGAGATGGTTTCTAAAGGTAGATCACTGGCCAGAGTTTTTGAGTTACAAGAGTCGCTCCAGAGATTTTTTTTTTCCAAAAACAGTCACCACTGGCAGCACATTTCAGTGACATCAAATGGGATAACTTGCTTACTTGTATGATATACTCAACCTGCTCAACCAACTCAATCGATCACTTCAGGGAGAATGACAACTGTGTTCAAGTCGGCAGATAAAGTGGCTTCATTAAAAGCCAAACTGGAATTATGAGGGTGACAAGTGAACACTGGGATTTTTGACATGTTTCAAATATTAGCAGAGATTTTGAAAGAGACTAAGCCAGGACCTTCTTTCTCCCAGCTAGTACACAATCACCTATCTCAGCTTTTGAAAGAGTTTGAGCATTACTTCCCAACCACAGAAGACCCCAAAATGGGAAGGAATGGATCCGCGCGACCCATTTGTGAATAAGCCAGGTGAATCGACTTCCAACCACAGAAGACCCCAAACTGGGAAGGAATGGATCCGTGCGACCCATTTGTGAATAAGCCAGGTGAATCCGTTCTATAAGAGAATCAGCTGCTCGAGACTGCGAATGACGGTGGAATTAAAAGTATGACAACTTCAAATCTCCATCATTCTGGATTAAAATCAAGGCGGAATATCCTGAGACTGCCACAGAAGCACTAGAAAGCCTGCTTCCATTTCCAACATCCTATCTTTACGAAGCAGGGTATTCTGCAGTGACAGCAACCAAAACGAGATTACGGAGTAGACTGAGCATAAGCAATGCACTTTGGGTGCCCCTGTCTCCCATCACCCCCATATGGGATCGTCTAGTTGCAGAAAAACAAGCTCAGGGCTCCCACTGATTCTGCATTATGGTGAGTATAATTATTTCATTATATATTATAATGTAATAATAGAAATAAAATTCACAATAAATGTAATTGTGAGCTGTATAATTATTTCATTATATATTACAGTGTAATAATAATAAAGTGCACAATATAATGCACTTGAATCATCCCAAAACCCTACTCCTTGCCTGCATCTGTGGAAAGATTATCTTCCATTAAACCGGTTGGTCCCTGGTGCCAAAAAGGTTGGGGACCATTGCTCTGTAACTTTATTTTTTCTAAATATGCATTTTCTTTTTATTTTCCAAAAAGTGTCCCTTTTGGCTCAGTTTCCCTCTCTAGAAAACACCCTGCCTTTCCTCTGCTTATCGGTAAACTACTAAAATGGACAAGTCCAAACAGAGCTCCCCTTCTGTGTGTCAGGAACTATATAGAATCTCAGATTTTCCATACTTGCAGGGTAACATGTTAGCTTGTTACTGTACCATGGATGCCAGGGAAAGACGTGAGACTTCTGGGTCAGTGACAAAGGACTTTATTACTCACAGCAAAAGCAATAGTCAGAGCTTCTTGTTTGTTTTTGTTGGTTCCCATGCTCCCCACATACCATAGAAATAGGCTTGCCAAATTTAGTAAATAAAAAATACAGGATGGTCAGTTTAATTTTAATTTTAGTTAGACTCACTGCTTTTCTACACTGAGAGGAAGTAAGACTGTTCTGTGGGAAGAGATGAAGAGGCGTTACTTCATCTCTCAATGTTACTCACTGAAGGAAAGAAAAAACTGGAAAATGGACCAGGTAGAGTGATCAGGGCCTTGCATCCTCTGCCTGCTCAGCAAGAACCCTCAGGGCCCATGGTGGAGTGTCTCCTCCAATATTCTGAAGCCTACATTTAAACCAGCCTTAATTCTCATCTAAAAGATGTGCTTGTGTATAGAAATATAACTTTTGATATTTGTTATCTTTAGCGTTTGTCTTTTGAGTTGCTCTGTAATCTTAGTGAGGCCAGAGAATATGTCCTACTTTTTATTTTTCTTAATCGTTCACAGCATCTTTTATAATGTCCATATATAGATGCTACTTAACAAGGTCTTTTCAGATAATTGATGCCTTTTAGGATGAATAGCTTTTTAGCTTTTACATTTTTAGGGATAATAGTAAACAAAGAATAAATTCTTTGGAAAGTATTTAATTTGAACACATTAAGAAACTATTTTTAGGCAGGAGCAAGTTTCTTGATCTATGCTCTATAATAACTAACACATTTCTCTTTTTGGTCTCTTATGTTCCTAATTACCTCATATATTCTTATGTTATCCTTTCACATATACTGGTATGTGAGCAAGCCTGCAAATGAGTAAGCCTGCTCACATTTAAGGCTGGATAACTTTTTTTTTCAATTAGAGCTGACATTCAATATTATTTTACATAGTTTTTAGATTATTAATTTTGCTTTATTTATGGGTAAGGAAAGTTCTCTGTAACCCACTTTAGAAGCTAAAGAGGAATATTTGGATTAAGTATCTGGAGTATATTCCTGAGGAGGTATTCACCTCCCCCAAGAAATTCTACTTCTTGTCACATTTAACCACAGAATTAGAGAAGAGGAGGAAAAAAGAAAATTATACCATGAAATCTGAAAACTTTCTGTCTCAGGGAACTTCCCAAAGCCCAAGTTTAGCAGATGTTAACCAGGGTGATCCAGGTTTCAGGTACAAAGGTCAGATCTCCTGAGGAGTGTCAGACTCCCAAGGGACAAAAGAATCATTCCCCCATTTGTACAGAGGATGTGCACAACATTCAGTATAGTCTTATATATATGAGTTTGAATACAGAAATAGTCAAAAAAGCCAGCACTCTAAAAATAAATAAAATGATTTAAAATAAATAAACACAAGTCGACTGCCTAGTCTAGGCACAAAGGACCTGACTGAAGCAGAAAGAACACCACAATGAGAAACTGTGGGCACCAGAGAACGTTTAGGACCACAAATATTAACACAATACTGAGAGCCTGGAATGCCTTCCAGAAACGTCCCTGGCCACTTACCGCCTTGTTGACAGCCATTCGAAGTTCGATCATGCCTCCAAACTTCCGAGTCACAGCTCTGCTCACTGGGACGTAAGCCATCGGGATGACCTCGATGGGGATTCCCTTGTGCCACTGATCCCCAAGGTTCTTTGAATCTTTCCTGGAAAGAATGAGTCAAAAAATACGATAAATGTATATAAACTCAGCAGTACAGATAAACAACAAATTATATGGTGAAAGGGCAAGGGAAGTGAGCAGGGATAAGTATATAGAGGCTTTAAATGTAGTGACTATGTTCTACTATTTAAGAAAAGGGTATTCAAAGTAAATTGATTAGGTTTGTGGCTATACAGGTGTTTATTACTAATGTTCCTCCTATAGCTATATTTCACAAGCAAATACCTTTTTTTTTTCTTTTTTAATTAACGTGCTCAGCACAAGAGCCTTCTACCAGATTCCTTGAAGGAGAATCTGAAAGCCCGGTCAAAGACTGTTCAAAAGTCACATGTGACCCAGGGGAAGCAGTACATGCTGAGTCACTCACTGCCCATGGGCAGGTCTTGCCCAGCCACCTGTGAGGTTCCCTGTGAGGATCAAATGACTGATATATGAGGATGTGCTCTGTAAACAAGGAAGATAAGCTGTTTCCTTCTCATTCCAATGAACACATAAAACAGTGATATCTACCTTCAGCACGAAAGCAGAACAAATCCTCCTAGACACTGCTCTAAGTCCTAGCCATGAGTCTCAGAAAGTCAGTCCCTCCATTTCTCTATTTCCTCCTCTGTAAAATGGGGACGAAGCCTGGGGTCTGATCTACTACTTTGGTGGGCAGTTCAGAACACTGAAAATTATACCTGAAATCAGCGATTACAATGAAGTGACTTGCATAGCCAGCCACAATCTTCTCCTGCGTTAGGCAGCCTCTGAAAATGAACACAGAGGTAAGACAAAAACTCGATTTGGGAACCAAGGCCAGACACAGGAAGCCCAAATCCACTTAACTCTGGCGCTTACCCAACCCCATCATGCTGTGCAATGAAGTGAATTATGTCCCACCAAAACTCTAAGGTTGAAGCTCTAACCCCTGATATGACTGTATTTGGAGATGGGGCCCCTAAGGAAGGAATTATGGTTAAATGAGGTCATAAGGGTGAGGCCTGATCTGATAGGATTAAAATCTTGGATAAGAGCCATGGGAGAGCCTGCTTACTCTCTCTCCATCAAGAGGACAAAGTGAAAAGGCAGCTGTCTGCAAGCCAAGAGCCTCTGGAACTGTGAGAAACTTCTGCTGTTGAAGCCACCCAGTCTCTGGTGTTTTGCTATGGCAGCCCAATCCATGTTGCTTCTAGTAAATGGATTGTGGAAACATTAGCCTGTGTCTGGGAGAAACCTAGAAACCAGACAATGGCTCCAGTTAGGCCAGGCGGAATGCCATCTAAGATACATCTATGGAGAAGCTCTGTGCTGAAGAAGTCACCTACACATGGCATAACTCAGGGGCCTACAACTGGAGAAGGATAAGCTTCAAACAACATGGCCTACTGGCTATTTGACAGTCAGAGTGATGAAGCAGAAAGAGCACATTGAGCTTTTAAACAAATTCTGTGTCATTTCATCGTCTGCTTGATTTTAAGAACCAGCAGAACAGGATTTTATCTTCTTCACCTCACCTT